GCGGGTCTCGAACCCGCGGGCTCAGGCAATCTACTCACCTCAGCCTCCCAAAGGCACGGGATTACAGGCTGAGACACCGAGCCCGGCTTATTTTATTTTTAATTGATACATACTAATAGTACAAAAAGAATTTTTAACTGATGGATGCGGCACAAATTTTAGAGAAAAAGGTGACATAGTTTGCTGATGGACATTTGGATTGAGGGTTCGACAATAGAGGCTGGTTAGCAGGGCTGGCGATTGAGTGGGGGTGAGGGGTAGGGAGAGTCCAGGATGGTTCTTAAGTTGTGTCTTAGATGACTGAGGGGAGAGTCATCTTGCAATTAACTGTGAGAGTGGAAACATGAAAACAGAAGGTTTTAGGGGAAGTTGAAGTGACTGGTTCTGAGCACATTGTTTCGAAGAGCCTGTAAATCATTGGTCATTGGCTACACAGGTCTAATGTTTAAGGAAGTGCTCTTGGTTGTAAATAAAGATTTGCAGGTCATAAACATATAGATAGCTAAAAGCACTAGAGTAGATTATATGACTCAAGGAGAACTGGAAAATAATACTAGCAAGGAAAACACAAAACCAAGAAGCATGGCAAGGTGAGAAGGGCAGGTAGAAGAGAAAATATGCACAGGTGAGCAGGACCATGCTCAGTAAAGAACACCAAATGTAAAATCCAAACACTAAGTGTTAGAAGTATGTGCTTCTCTCTTAACAAAGATTAAAAGAAGAGAGCTGGGAGGAATGGAAAGAGTTACCATTTGGTGCTTGCTATGTTCTTGTTAATTTTTTTGTTATTGTCTAAGCTCAGTAACAAAAGAAAGGAACCTGAAAGTATTTTCCTACTGCTTTGTTTACTGCCAAATATATAAGGCTTCGGTGGGAAGGGTCATCTGTTTCCTCATTCCTCTGAAAAAGTCAGGGCTTCTAGATAATCATGGATGGTAGAGGACACCTAGATTGACCTAGCTTCTGGATTCAAAACCTCTAATCCATGGCCGGGGGACCTGGGGAGGGCTTGGGAGCACCTCAATCTTCTCACCTGGATGAATGACTCAGTAGCAGGGGCAATTAAGGCATGTTCCCTCAGGCATGAACTAGTTGTAGACTTGCAAATATTAGGATCTTTGGAAGGAAGGTAGATTACCCTAAAGAGGGTGATAGCTGGGACCTGCCTTTGAAGACTCAGCAGGGAAAGTTCAATCCAGATGCATTCCTGGGTTTCTGTCATTCCGGTGAAACCAGTCATTGGAACATTTCCTGTTAACTGTGTTCTAAATGCCACTCACTATTTATTGGATGGCAGAAGTCCTTGGCTCAGAAAACCTTGGAACTGGACCTCTGGCTTTAAGCATTCCTAGGACTCTTTGGTGGTTGCCAAGTAGGTAGTATATTAACCAAAGAATGATCAACCAGCCAGAAGAAAAACCACACACAGGCATCCTTCAATTAATTATGCTTTGCTTCAGTGCACTTCTCAGATGTTGCGATTTTCTCAAAATGTTTGTCAACTCAAGGAAGAGTCACATGTTTCTCATTTTTAAACCAAGAGCTAGATATGACTATGTTCGGTGAGAAAGGCATGTCAAAAGCTGAGATAGGCCCAAAGGTAGGCCTCTTGTACCAAATAGTTAGCCAAGTTGTGAATGCAAAGAAAAAGTTCTTAAAGGCAATTAAAAGTGCTATTCCAATGAACACACAAATGATGAGAAAGCAAAACAGCCTTCTTGCTGATGTGGAGAAAGTTTGAGTGATCTGGATAGAAAATTAAACAGTCACAACATTCTCTACAGGCACAGTCTAATCCAGAGCAAGACCCTAACTCTTCAATTCTATGAAGGAGAGAGAGGGAAGGAAGCGGAAGAAGAAAAGTTGGAAGCTAACAGATTGGTTCATGAGATTTAAGGAAAGAAGCCATCTCTATAATATAAAAGTGCAAGGTGAAGGAGCAAATGCTGATGGAGAAGTTGCAGCAAGTTATCCAGAAGGTCTAGTTAAGGTCATTGATGAAGGTGGCTACACTAAACAACAGATTTTCAATGTAGATGAAACAGCTTTCTTTTGGAAGAATGTGCCATCTAGGACTAGCTAGAGAGAAGAAGTCAATGCCTGGCTTCAAAGCTTCAAAGGACAGGCTGCTTCTCTTGTTAAGGGCTAATGCAGTTGTTGAATTGAAGCTGAAGTCAATATTCACTGGTCATTCTGAAAGCCTAGGGCACGTAAGAATTATGCTAAATCTTGGGTACAAATATACACTTAGAAGAAATAAGACCTAGTGTTTGATAGAATAGTAGGGTAACTATTGTTAATATTAATTGACTATACATTTTAAAAAGCTAGAAGAGAATAATTTGAAGGTTCGTGGTATACAGAAAAAATAAATATTTACAGTGATGGATATCCCAATTACCCCGATTTGATTATATGATGTTTCAAATTATCACATGTACTCCAAATATATATATATTGTGTATCAATAAAATAAATTAATTAAATTATACTAAATCTATTCTGTCTATGCTTTAGAAATGAAACAACAAAGCCTGGATGTTAGCACATCTGTTTACACTACGATTTACTGAGAACTTTAACCCATTGTTGAGAGCTACTTCTCAGGGAAAAAAAAGAATTCTTTCAAAATATTATTGCTCATTGGCAATACACCTGATCACCCAAGAGCTCTGATGGAGATGTGATTAATATTGTTTTTATGCCTGCTAACACAATGTCCATTCTTGCACCCCATTGATCAAGGAGTAATTTTTACTTCAAGTCATATTATTTAACAAACACATTTCATAAGTCTCTAACTGCCATAGATAATGATTTCTCTGCTGTATCTGAGCATAATAAATTGAAAATCTTCTGGAAACAGTTCACCTTTCTAGATGCCATTAAGAACATTTATGATTCATGGGAGGTAGTCAACATATCAGCATTAACAGGAGTTTGGAATAAGTTAACTCCAACCCTCTTGGATAACTTTGAGGGGTTCAAGACTTCATTGGAAGAAGGAATTGCAGATGTGGTGAAAATAGCAAAAGAACTAGAATTTTAGAAGTGGAGCCTTAAGGTGTGACTAAATTGCTAGAACCCATGATTAAACCTGAATGAATGAGGAGTTGTTTTTATTTCTGTGTGTGTGTGTGTGTGTGTGTGTGTGTGTGTGTGTGTGTGTGTGTTTTGGAGTCTCACTCTGTCACCCAGGCTGGAGTGCAGTGGCATGATCATGGCCACCGCAGCCTTGACCTGCTGGGCTCAGGTGATCCTTCCACCTCAGCCTTCCAAGTAGCTGGAACTACAGGCATGCACTACCACACCTGGCTAATTTTTTTATTTATTGTAGAGACAAGGTCTCCCCAAGTTGACCAGGCTAGTCTCGAACCCCTGGGCTCAGGCAATCCTCTTGCCTTGGCCTCCCAAAGTGCTGAATTATAGGCTTGAGCCACCAAGCCTGGCCTGCAATAAAGTATTTTAAATTAAGCTATATATATTGTTTTTTAGACAAAATGCTATTGTACACTTACAAGACTACACTATAGTATAAACATAACTTATAGACACCAGGAAACCAAAAAATTCATGTGACTTGCTTCATTGAGATAGTCACTTCGTTGTGGTGTTGATACCAAATCCACAATGTCTCCAAGGTATGCCTGTATGTACTTCATATCTACAGGATGCGGAAGACTGAGTAGAACTCTAATTTCACCTTACCTGAGACAAGGGTAGCATATAGCCTCGGTATTTTGTGGGCAAAAATTCAGTCTTTATGATTAACCTAAACAGGAAGAGAAAAGCCACAATAATTTTGTTTTCATAAAACCAAATAACCATTTTTTTTTTCTTTTGCTGAATATAAGTATACGGGCCTATTCCATTGTCTGACAGCCCAGACCTTTCAAGGTCATGGCTTTGGAATCTAGAAAATAACTTTTTTTTTTTTTCTTGTCACAGGGACCAGGAATCCAAAAGCATAGAAATTACATAAAAATGTCATTTTGATAGCTAATATTCACATAAGAGATCAGTAAGAAGTAAACTGACAACTGCTCCTTTGTTTACATTGTTACTCCTAAGGTGATTTTAAACTTTCTGCCATGTAAGAAATATTAGCCTTATCTATTTTGCCAAGGGAAGCGTTGGCAAGATGTTTTCCCAAGCCCAATTCCCTTTTCTAAAACCTACTTGGGAAATTCATATACTCTCAAGAGAAGATAGATAACTTTTCAACTATTGACAAGTCAAAGCACAGATTTCTAATTAATTACATATTTAATTATATATAATTAAGTATATATTAATTTTGTGAATAGAGAAATACACAGAATTGTATTCCATCAGTTTCCTCATTGTTCTTCTCTGTTGCTGTTATTAGCCAGAATTTGGGACTTTAACATATTTTTTAGCCTGTTTCCTGAGGGATCTTTTAAAATTTTACTTAGCTTCTACTTCTTGAGGTCTCCAAAGCTCAAAGTTTAATATATGCCCCCAGGGAAGAACAATTCTTTCACTAATATAAGAAGGCTATAATTAGGTGCTTTGACATCTCCTAATATATTTTAAGGATAACTTGCTCCAAGGAGAGCATAGCCTGAGGGAACCTGTTAATTAAGGGCTCCCAAGGACCAGAATAGTTGGCATAACAACTTTCACCCCGTGCACAGTAAGATCTTACATACTTACCCAAGGGCAGAGAAAGACAAGCCACACATCTATTCCGTGTGCCTTATCCTGCTTTCCAAATTCACTTTGGCACAGTCTTAAGTCATGGGAAGATGACCCTTCAAAATTGTTATCCCTAAATGCTACAGGTACTTACGGGCAAACTAAACTCTTCCAACAACGTCTCAATAAATTGTGTTTGGATCAACATTTGTTACCTACCTACCTAATGTGGTACTTTTTTTTTTTGAGTTGGAGTCTCACTCTGTCGCCCAGACTGGAGTGCAGTGGCCGCTCCCGGCCACTGCAGCCTCGACCTGCTGGGCTCCGGCGATCCTTCCGCCTCAGCCCTCCAAGTAGCTGGAACTACAGGCGCGCGCTACCACACCCGGCTAATTTTTGGATTTTTTGTAGAGATGAGGTCTCGCTGCCCAGGCGGGTCTCGAACCCGCGGGCTCAGGCAATCCACTCACCTCAGCCTCCCAAAGGCACGGGATTACAGGCTGAGCCACCGAGCCCGGCTTTGTGGTACTTTTTGTTAGTATTTGGTCTAACAAAATATGACTGTCTAAAAAATAATGATTAGCCTTAGGAACAAAAATATCAACATATGTTTGATTAATCTAACTCTGCAGGCCTCAGCACCAAGTATCATTGTGATAAGCAAGTTGCTCCTTAGAGAAACAATAAATAAGCAGGCATCACTAAAAACCAACAAAACAAAAAAGCACAAAATGAATGGGCGCAAGTGGAGTCTATAAATTGATGCTCTTGGCCCTTCAAATACAGTGTATCTGTAGATGTACATGCTTCTCTCTCAGATCCTTTGGGTGACATCTTTACCCTTGTGCGTGGCCAGATACGCCGCAGCCCACCATCGTCCGCAGGAAGACAAACCAGATATAGGAGGAGGCAAATGAGGTCAGCAAGGAGAAATAGGCTCCCCACAGGAATGAGATGAGCAAAATCTGAAACAACAAAAGGGGACTTATTAATGGGACCTGCCTCGATGGGGGCAAGGGAGAAAACCTAACTTACTTTCCATTCAAATGAGAACAAGCTCACCGGGCTCTCACAATCAAACAGTACAACCCATGCCATTACATTGTCTGAAAGCCCAAGGCTTTCAAGTTCACACCATTCCTTAAAACTGCCCTTCTGGGTCCACCCTCACAGGTAGCAGGAACATGAACTTGTACACCAGAAAGCAAAAACATGTCCTCCTTACTCACAGGGATTTTAGGACCATGAAGCACATGCTGGAATGAGTTTTAAGGAGAATATTTAAGGTATGAGAGGAGACCCAAAAAATCCCAGAATTATCTTTTAGGGGACAGGCCCCTTACAGTATAGGCTTTCCCCGCTAGGTAAATGTTCTAGGAACCCATTGGCATCAGTGTAACAGCTACTGTTGTGAGAGGCTGCATTCGGCTTCAGTGAATTTTTTTTGGGAGATTCAGCGTGTTTGCCTATTTTATGGGGAGTGATTTATGAGTGCACCTGCTCACATTGCACTGAGTGTTCAGCAGTTTTTGACCAAAAACAGTATGACCCCTGTGTCCCATCCTCCCTATTCACCTCATCTTGCCCCGAACAACTTTTTTTTGTTCTCAGAGGGAGACATTTTGCATCACAACTGACGAGTTTAAAAACATTTTGAGCAGTGGAAAAAGCATCTCGACAAGTGTGTTGCAATTGAAGGAAAACTAGCCAGGCATGGTGGCACGTGCCTGTGGTTCCAGGTACTTAGAAGGATGAGGCAGAAAGATCACCTGAGCCCAGCAGGTCAAGGCAGCAGTGGCCATGAGCATGCCACTGCACTCCAGTCTGGGCAACAGAATAAGACTCTAACTCAAAAAAAAAATTAAAAAATTGAAATCTTCCTTGATTGTCCGACTCAGAGAAAACACTATTGACACTGTTTCATCTTATTTCCCCTTGCTTGTAAGGGAAAACAAATGTTTATTTCCTATAAAATATAGGAAATATAGGGGAAAGATATACTTTAATACATGTAAAATAGTACATAAGCCCTTCCCTTACTGTTGAATTTTGAGGATGTTTCAGATTTCCTCATTATTAAAATAAGCTGTGATGGTGTCCGTGCACAAATTGCTGTGCCCTTTCTGAAGACTTGAGCAAGCTATATTTCTGTTTTTTTCTTTATTTCTTTTTTTTGAGTTGGAGTCACTCTGTTGCCCAGGCTGGAGGACAGTGGTGCACTCACGACCACCCCAGCATCAACCTGCTGGGCTCAGGCTATCCTTCTTCCTCAGCCTTACAAGTAGCTGGAACTACAGGAGCATGCTACCATGCCTGGCTAATTTTTTAATTTATTATAGACATGAGTTTCACCAAGTTGCCCAGGCTGGTCTCAAACCCCTGGACTCAGGCAATCCTCTCACCTCGGCCTCCCAAAGTGCTGGGATTACAGGCTTGAGTCACCACAACTGGCCTAGCAAGTTATATTTCTGAAGACAAATTACTAGGTTAGCAGAATAGAAATTTCCAACTTTTCTGACCAAGTTAATGGTCAGAAAAATTATACCAGTAGGATGTAATAATAGAAGATGCAACGTATAATATTACATATATTATACATTAAGATATAATGATATAATACCAGTAAGGTGTAATGGGTGTGTCTATGTGCTTAAAAGCATGCAAATGTCTGTTTCAGACATGCAGGATTCCTTAAGAAAATTTCCTAGCTGGGCTCAGTGGCTCAGCCTGTAATCCCAGAGCTTTGGGAGGCTGAGGTGAGTGGATTGCCTGAGCCTGCGGATTCGAGACCCGCCTGGGCAGCTTGGCGAGACCTCATCTCTACAATAAAGAAATTTTAAAAATTAGCCGGGTGTGGTAGCTCATGCCTATAGTTCCAGCTACTTGGAAGGCTGAGGCAGAAGGATCACCTGATCCCAGCAGGCTGACGCTGGGGTGGCCGTGAGCATGTCATTGCACTCCAGCCAGGGTGACAGAGTGAGACTCCAACTCAAAATAAAAATGACTTTTTGTGTTTTTGTTATTTGAGATACTTGTGTTTTCATATTAATTTACAAGGGTCTATATTCTTACAGTCTGTGCACTAAAATACACAGCCATTCTATTAATGTTTGCCTTTGAGTTTCTCCCTTTGTGTTTATGCTTAGAGAGGACTTCATCAGAAATCAGACAAGAAAAGATGAGTGACCTGGGTTTATAATCAGAAGACATAATTTACATCTTGATATCTATTCTCAGTATATGTGTGACCTTGAGCAAGTAGCTTAGTTTCAAAGCTGCACCAAAGTTAACAAATACGTAGCTCCTTATGCTTACACCTGCAAATTCCCACATTCTGATATGTTTTAACTACACGCATCCATCAACCTGAGAAAGTAAAGTGGCTCAGAGCACCCAGGAATGTGAGGTCTGCAAAATTTCTCAGGCCCAGAGAGAAATGAACATGAGACTTCACTCAAGTCCCCTGCACCCAAAAGGCATTTTGTTTTACCCTTTCTTCCCTGTAGTTTCCAGACTACCTGATAAATTACCTGAAATGTAACCACGGGTTGCACTATGTGACCCTCACCCATTATCTTCATGTTCCCAGAATTCGTGATATAAAGAACAGTGGATAGCCAGTGGGTAGCTTATGTTATGTTATGTTATGTTATGTTTTATGTTATTTATTTATTTTAAAGTGTCAGACAGGTAATATGCCAACATCATAATGAGTTTGAGGGTGGCACATCTCACATATGCAGGTGAATATTCAGTCATCACACATAATGAATTACAAAAGGATCACGTATATTATTTTAAAAAATCAATGTAAATTCTTGATACACAACTTAGGAACTGCCCTCTAGCTCCTTCTTTTTACCTCTCTTTGAAAACCAACTCAGAACTGCTGCTAACTGGAGTATATATTCAGGGCAACTTGACTATGACTCCCTGGTTGCAGTTCTCAATCTTGGCCCCAATACACCCGCAACTTAAACTGATTTTGCTGCAGTTTCTTCCTTTAAGTTGACATTTCTTTTCTTTTTTTTTTTTGAGTTGGAATCTCACTCTGTCGCCCAGACTGGAGTGCAGTGGCCGCTCCTGGCCACCGCAGCCTCGACCTCCTGGGCTCCGGCGATCCTTCTGCCTCCGCCTTCCAAGTAGCTGGAACTACAGGCGCGCGCTACCACCACACCCGGCTAATTTTTTGATTTGTTGTAGAGATGAGGTCTCACCAAGTTGCCCAGGTGGGTCTCAAACCCGCAGGCTCAGGCAATTCACTCACCTCAGCCTCCCAAGGTGTAAGTTGACATTTCTAATGAGAGGAGTCCCCATCCCCTACCCCACTACCCAGTGTTCCCTCAAGCTCCAGCACGAACCCACTGTGTTCCTCTAACTCCAGAGGTTTCTCTGGGTGCAAAATGGTGATTCCTTCTGAATCCAGACTTTCCTTCCTTTAGGTTAAAGATTAGATTTTTCTTTTCTTTTCTTTTGAGTTGGAGTCTCTGTCACCCAGGCTGGAGTGCAGTGGCACACTCATGGCCACCACAGCCTTGATCTGCTAGACTCAGACGATCCTTACATCCCAGCCTTCCAAGCAGCTGGAACAACAGGCGTGTGACACAAAACCTGGCTAATTTTTAGATATATTGTCAAGACAAGGTCTCGCCACATTGCCCAGGCTGGTCTCAAACCCCTGGACTCAGGCAATCCTCTCACCTCCACCTCCAAAGTGCTGGAATTATAGGCATGAGCCACCACACAGGGCCTTGAACTTGTCTTTTCATTTGTGATCAGTTCCTGCTAGTTTCAAACTGAAAGGTACATGAGGGTGAATTTTCTTGACCCAGTGTTAAGATATTTGTTCCCTCCAACCCAATTGGATGCTCTATGGGACCAAAGACTGCACAGAGCTGTCAGGACATTTGCTCATGACACATTATAGTCCTATAGGGCTCTTTTGGAGAAAAACAGGTTTTAGAACCAGACAAACTGAATGGGAGGCCTACTTTTAGTAGCATCTAGAACCTTCTAAGAGGGTACAGAAAAAAAATTGCTTCTCTCCAGGAGGTAAACTAGAAGTTGCCAGAAACTATTTCAGAGCTAATGAAAACCTCAGAAGTTTATTTTCTTTTCACTGTTCCTCTGTCAAGGCTCTTACACCTTTCTATCTACTTTTGTCCAACCTTCTGTGTTACCATCTGTTCTACCCCCTCCTCCCCTCTAGCAGAGGAAGAAGCTTAACAAGCCACAGGGCACCCTTCCAGATCTTCTGCTATGGCTGCCCCTTCCAGAGTAAAACCAGTAATGAGAAGAGAAGAACCTGCTTTAGTATATAATCCATGGACCAAAACTGAACTTTAAAATATTATAAAGGATTTTCCAGACCCAACTAAAGACTCCATAAGATTTACAAAGGAATTTTATTTGAATATCTAAATTTATGACCCCAGATATTCTGACCAGTTAATCCACATTGGTGTCTGAAGGAAGAGCCAGGAAAAGGCTTTAAAAAGGCAAATTGGAATAAAACTCTAGAAGCTTTTAACAAAAATACCAAAGAAGACTGAGAATGAATTGATAACTTGGCAAAAGTTCTTCACGATGCTGTATCACAAATATTCCTTTTTTTTTTTTTTTTTTTGAGTTGAAGTCTCACTTTGTCACCCAAGTTGGAGTGCAATAGCACACTCACCATCACCATAGCTTCAACCTGCTGGGTTCAGGCAATCCTTCTGCTTCAGTCTTCCAACTAGCTGGAACTACAGGCATGAGCCACTATACCTGGCTAATTTTTTTGATTTATTGTAGAGACAAGGTCTCACCATGTTACCTAGGCTGGTCTCAAACCCATGGGCTCAGGCAATCCTCTCACCTCTGCCTTCCAATGTATTGGGATTACAGGCATGAGCCACAGCACCTGATCACTTAAAATATGTATATATCGCGGGTGCAGTGACTCACGCCTGTAATCCCAGCACTTTGGGAGGCCAAGAGGAGAGGATTGCCTTAGTCCAAGGGTTCGAGACCAGCCTAGGCAACTTGGTGAGACCTCGTTTCTACAATAAATCAAAAAAAATTAGCAGGGGATGGTGGCACACACCTGTAGTTCCAGCTACTTGGAAGGCTGAAGCCACCCCAGCGTCAACCTGCTGGGTTCCAGGGATCCTTCTGCCTCAACCTTCCAAGTAGCTGGAACTATAGGTGTATGCTACCATGCTCAGCTAATTTTTGATTTATTATAGAGATGAGGTCTTGCCAAGTAGCTGGGGCTGGTCTCGAGCCTGCGAACTCAGGCAATCCACTTGCCTTTCTCTCGTTCTCTCTTTCTCTCGTTCTCTCGTTCTCTCTCTCTCTCTCTCTCTCTCTCTCTCTCTCTCTCTCTCTCTCTCTCTCTCTTTCGGAGTGACTCTGTTGCCCAGGCTGGAGGGCAGTAGCATGCTCACAGCCACCACAGCCTCGACCTGCTGGGCTGAGACTTTAGTCTTCCACCTCAGCCTTCCAAGTAGCTGGAACTACAGGCATGTGCCCCCATACCCAGCTAATTTTTTTATTTTTATTGTAGAGACTAGGTCTCTCAAGTTGCCCAGGTTGGTCTCGAACCCCTGGGCTCAGGCAATCCTCTCACTTCGACCTCCCAAAGTGCTGGGATTATAGGCATGAGCCACCACGCCCAGTCTATCACAAATATTTCTAAAAAACATTGACTGGAATAAATTCAACAATGTAGACAAAGACCAGATGAACTCATCCTCGATTATTTTGAATGGTTTAAAAAAACTTCAATCAATATTCTGGTAGAGCAAGTGTGAGCCATCAAGATTATTAAAATTATACCATCTTAAACTTTGCCTTCCTCAGTAGAGTAGATGAAGATCTAGTCATTTTAGTTAAGAGACACAAATTAACAGGCAACCATCCAGACTCATGATCTTGCCAATCTGGCTGGTCAGCTTTCTAAAAATCTCCAAAAGAAGGAGAAAAGCAAGACCTTTAAAGCCATGAGCTTGCAGCTCCAGCAACTGACTGGCCAGACTCAACCTTTTAAGAGGTAGACAGCCCTAAATGACCAAAAAGCATCTTCTCTTATTGCAAAAAACAAGGTCACTTTTTTAAAGATTGCAAAAAAAACTTAAGTAGTGACAGGAGAGAAAAAACATTCAAGAGAAATATGACTGCTCCTGGGGAGCAAAGGGGACCTACCTGTTTCTCCTTATTAAAGCATTAGGAGAAATGGATATATTGATAAAGGAAGAAAGAACAGACTTATTCCCTCACTGACACCGGAGTTGCATATTCGGCTCTCAACCCCACCACATTAAACTGTCCCCTTCCTCAGAGTAACATGGCAGGGGTATCTAACCAACCTATGGCTGCTTCTAAATCCCAACCTTCAGAATTTCAAGTAGAGCCTCTTAGCAGCCTTCATTCATTTTTACTTTTTCCTCCACTTCTATACAACTTCCTGGTAGAGATTTAGTAGAACTCTGTACTGCTTACATCTCCTTTTTTTAAACTCCATACCTGGGCTTCGGGGGATCTGGTATGGAAACAGGTACCTCAGGAAAAGATAAAAAAATCAAGAAGACAAGCCTGGCATTTAGAATGTTCTCTCAGGGAAGAAAAATTATCCATTTTCTCTGTTGGGTATTGATGGGGAAATGCCCACTAAAGAAGACATTGCCACAAAAGAAAATTCCAAATTGCACTGTGAGGTCTGACCTACCTTCCAGCGGCCATATCTGTCAGCCAGGAGGCCAAAGAGGATGCTGAAGACCATGTAGCCAAAAAACACCATCTGCAGGTGGAGGTGAGACAAAATGGTTTACTAAGCAAAGTTTTTAGAAGATGTTAATTTACTGCATTAGCCATCTATCTGTCTTCACTAAAAGTAGACTGGAAATATGTGAGGGGTAGAAGTTAAAGAACAGAGTTTCACAAAGCCCTCAACCAACTCCCGAAGTGTATTCAGGACTTCAAAGGTGGGTGTTTTGGCTTCTTGTTGGCTGATCCCACACCTTGGAGACGCTGCCCCCAGGTGGAAGCCAAGGTCTGCAGAGGAGGTAACGGCTTTCCCTCTGATCCAAAAAGATGGCCTCAACTCCACTCCACTCTGACTCGTAATTGTGAATTGCCATTGTAATTTTAAAAATTCTCTGTTCATTCCTGCTCTGCTATGTTCTATACCCAAGTTGAAGCAACTAGAAGAAGTTTCCCTTTATGTAACTACGAGTAAACATAAACCTTAAACACCAAAAACAATCATTCATTTAAGAACTTCTTCAAAATAGATATAAATCCAAAGATAAACCTAGTTATTTTTCTTACTTGTTCTCACAATGGTTTGTCCTCCCCTAATAAGATTCAAGGGCCTGGGATTTGATATCAGCATTCCATCTCAGCCTGAGTTGGAAGCTCAGTTGGCAGCTGATGTCTATGCCTTTAGGCCCCTATTTTTCTGCCTTCAAACAGTTCTAAGCTTCACTGGTTCTCCTCTCCAGGAAAGAGCCCTGATTGATGCCTCCAGAGCAATAAAAGGAAAGCTAGTAGCTGGAATTTCCAGGGAAAAACAAAATAGAAAAAGCTGTTTTTCTTTCATGCCCACTCTGTTTTCTCCCCTCCTTGCTCTTCATAAGGGAGACTTAAATGCATTTCTTCCACGGAGAACTAACTATAAAAAATTCATCATATAGACTCTTGAACAACAAAAACCATGACTGTGCCCTGTGCTTGGTACGCTCTAGGATAGAGAAGTTGACTTGAAGTTTGTGTTAACCCCAGTTTGTACATGCTGTATTCTGTAACCATGTTTGGGAGATTGCAGAGAGACAGAAACCTCTCTGCCTCTGTCTCTTTCTGTGTGTCTCTCATTCTCTGTGTGTGTCTCTATTTCTGTCTCTCTCTCTCTGCCACTGCCTCTCTTTCTGTCACTGTCTGTTCCTGTCTCTCTCTTCCCTGTCTCTCTCTGTGTTTCTGGCTCCATTTTTTATATCTGTCTCTCCCTCCCTGCCTCACTCTGTCCCTCTCTGTGTCTGTCTCTCTCTGTGTTTCTGGCTCCATTTTTTATATCTGTCTCTCTCTCCCTGCCTCACTCTGTCTCTCTCTGTGTCTGTCTCACTCTGTGTGTCTTACTCTGTGTGTGTCTCTCTCATCTGTCTCCCTCTCTGTTCCTGTCTCTCTCTCTTCATTTTTTTCTCTCTTAGTTGTTGATGGGAAACAACAGTTGTTGAACCCGGGACTCTAATGAGAGAGAGATAGAGACCACAAAGAGCCAGCTCCGATGCAAACACACGAGGGTCTTTATTCAGGCTCGAGTCTGGGCTCACGCCCGAAGCAGTAGCTTCAGGGACCAGAGCCCCGATTCACAATGGCAAGCAGTTTTTATGCACAATTACAGAGGGAGGGGAAAGAACTCCAAACTTGATTTTACATGATTGGGTAATTTCTCCTAATGGGTACGGGAATACTTGGTATTGGTGGGTGCTGCCCGTGATTGACAGAAACCCATGTAATAGGTCGAGTGGAATGTTAGATAAGTTAGGTCCATACAGTCCCTGCTTATGAAGTAACCTGAGCCGGCAGACAAAGGGTTACATTAGCCCTTTTAGTTTACCGATCCAGCCCAAGGTTTGCTTAGGAAAGCTTGTTTGCTTAACCTTTACATAACATAACATAGTCATTATGGGACAACAAAAGCCAAACTTAACAAAGTTTTAAATATGAATGCTGCAAACACATACAGTGAATGTGGGGTAGAAAATCATATACTAATTCTGGGAATTTATAATAGCAAGCTTATTATAGCAAGGCGGTTACTTTTATAAAAGTCTTTGTTCCCTGCAGGTTTACATAGCCACTGCGTGTAAATTATCACTGAGATAAAAACCGATGATAAAGTCCACCTAGAGAGGAGCTGGCTCCTCTGAGTCTGCTGGCACCTTGTAGGAATGTTTGAAAGAGGCTTATCGCTTTATCATTTACATCCCGTTGTAAAAGCATAAGTTAGCCTGCTAGTTTGGGCCTGACAATGCTTAACCCAAGAATTCTAAATACAAACACTGCTTAAAACCTGACATATGCCTAATTCTACGGGGTCTGAGGTAGGATTTAAAGTACTAAGATTTCATAAAATACATGAGGTAGGAATACACAAAATATATAGTAAACATGAGGTGGGGATATATGAAATATAGTGAACTAAACGCTACTTTTACAGCAAAGAAGTTTCTTGGTTTCTTGGGTCTCTCAATAGCATGCTCTTAACCTAAATCTATTGTTGTCCTCTCACAGTCTATATGTGAAAAGGGTCAACTGCCTAACAATTGGTCTGCACAAACCTGTGAATTGTACACCCTCAACTAAGCCTCAAATTTCCTTGCAGAACAGGAATGTACCATTTATACTGACTCCAAATATGCCTTTGGGGTAGTTCATGCCTTTGGGAAAATTTGGACAGAACAAGATCTCACCAATAGCAAGGGAAAGAAATTAGCACATGGGGAGCTAATCGAAGAGATCCTAAAAAGCCTCCTACTCCCAACTGAAAAAGCAGTAGTACATGTAAATAGTCACTAAAAGGTTAGCACCTTGGAGACCATAGGAAACAGGCTGGCAGACAAGGTTGCAAAACAAGCTGCTCTAGAAAAAGAGGTTAAAATCTTGAGTCTCATTCCTAGCATCCCCAAAGTAATACCAAAGCCTCAATTCACTAAGAGGAAGAAGGGGAACTAAACAGGTTGGGAGCTATTTGGAGTGGGGACAGACAATGGTTTCTCCTGGATGGGAGGGAAATGATTAGCAAGCCTATAATGAGAGAATTAATGACCATGCTACACAAGGGGAGCCACTGGGATCCTCAGGCCATGCGTGATGCCATATTAAAAACTTACAGATGTGTGGGCATCTATACCATTGCCAAGCAAGCATGTAAAGGCTATATAAACTGTGAGGGGATAAACAAAAAGGTAATTCAAAAGCAAGCTGTGGGAGGAAGGACTCCAGAACTGAGACCATTCCAAAGCATTCAGGTAGATTTCACAGAAATGCCAAAAATAGGGACATTAAGATACTTAGTGATAATGGACCAGTTCTCAGGTTGGGTGGAGGACTTTGCCCTCATAATTGCCACTACAGGGTCTCTAATCAAAATAATTCTAAAACAAATTATTCCTCGATTCAAACTAGTGGAAAATGTAGAGTCAGATAATGGAAGTCATTTTATATCACAGGTATTGAAGAGGGTAATGGTAAGTTTACAGGGATTACCACACCCCGTGGCACCCTCCTTCCTTAAGGACAGAAGAAAGGATGAATCAGAACCTCAAAAAGCATATTACTAAATTAATGAAAACGAAATTACCCTGGGTGAAGTGCCTTCCAATTGCACTTCTCAAAATCAGGACAGCCCCATGAAAAGATGTGGACTTGTCTCTTTATGAATTATTGTATGGACTCCCATACCTGGACAGAACTACAGACCTTCCCATTATGGAAATTAAGGACCACTTTCTAAAAACCTATATACTTGCCATATCTTCCACTTTACCATCCCTTTGGTTAAAAGGACTTCTTGCCCAGGCTCTGCCTCTCGAGTTTGCTGTTCATTCCTTCCACTCTGGCAACTTCATCCTTACAAACACCTGGAAGGAAGACAAACTCCAGCCAAGCTGGAAAGGTCCCTATCAAGTATTCCTGACTACTGAGACTGCTGTGCAAATGGCCAAGAAAGGGTAGACTCACTATGCCCGAGTTAAGGAATCAATGACTCAAGAAGAAGCCAAAGACCAATGGGAAGTATCTAGGTCCCCTGGAAAATCCTTAAGGTCATTCTAAGGAAAATTCCATAAGAAACATGAGCCAGGCTCAAATTTGGTATTTAACATGGATAGGATATATAATCATGAACAGGCTGGAAGGTAATGGGAACTGGCAGGGAACACATGGGTACCCAATCAAGTTAATGATGAATGTAACAAAAACTCTAACATCAAAACCATTTTGCTTGAGGCATATCACGTTCTACCCTGTGGGGATTTAGAAAATCAGAGACAATTGTCACAAACAGAAAAATACCTCTGCCTGGAACCAGGCACTGTCTACAGTAATACCAATCCCTCCTTCAGCTGGGATGATGTCTGGTGGAACACCCAATGAAAAGGATGGACACCCCAAACTGGAGACCTTTAAAAAATAAAATACATCTTTTTAATGGCACTCCACCAAAAGTAGGTCAGAACTCGAAATTCAACCCTATACTTTTAAGTATTAACAATCCAATTGCTCTAGATCAAGAGCCAAGGGTGGCATTTCAGGTATATGGATTAGAAGCAGAGGTCACAGTGAAAGACTCTCTAGGACAACTAGTCCTTAGGATAGTTAATAATAATGCATCAAAGCCGGGCTCGGTGGCTCAGCCTGTCATCCCGCTCCTTTGGGAGTCTGAGGTGAGTGGATTGCCTGAACCCGCGGGTTCGAGACCCACCTGGGCAGCGAGACCTCATCTCTACAATAAACCAAAAAATCAGCTGGGCATGGTAGCGCATGCCTGTAATTCCGGCTACTTGGAAGGCTGAGGTGGAAGGATCGCCGGAGCCCAGCAGGCCGAGGCTGCGGTGGCCGGAAGCGGCCACTGCACTACAGTCTGGGCAACAGAGTGAGACTCCAACTCAAAATAATAATAATAATAATAATAATAATAATAATAATAATGCATCAGAGATACCTAAACCAGTCTCAAGTCCTGGAGGACATAACAATCTTCCTAATAATGATCCCAAGAGGGTAACTATAATTGAAATC